TTAATGTATCAAAAGATACAGGGGTGACTTACAACGAAAAACCTAAAAAGACTCTCAAAACCTAAGAATTTACACTTCCCCTAATTTTACAAAATTATAAAAGCCAAATTACATTAGATTTAAGTTTCTCTTTATATACACCTTAGCAGTCCATGGGCTTCAGAATCTTCACTCAAATATTTCTTGATCCACACGCTAAGGGTTGCATCAATTGTGCATAAAAAGTCTCCTTGAATCTTGGAACAAATCACCAAGTTTCCTAAATTGTCTCAACATCCAAATTTAGAAACTTATGAATAGTTGGAGATCAAATCAAATGTTCCAGATTAAATCTTCTTGACCTGCAAAAATAAGTGAGATATATTCAAACAAAATCTCATAAAATCAAATCAAATCTGTCAAGAATAAAATAACCTGTATTGATGTTCTGGTACAACATATCACAACATCTATCAGAGCAACCAGAAATAACATGTACTGATGTTCTGGTACAACATATCACAACATCTTGTTGTGAACCATGTTTAGCAAAATTGTCGCCAATCCTAAAATCATGGATCTAACAATCTCTCCCTTTAGCAAATTTTGGCTAAAACAACCTTTTGCGCAATAAACCTAGAGAGAGGAATAAAACCACAAACATAAAACACAAGCTACATGAAAAAACATGTAAACTTTATACAACAAGCACTTTTGCAGCTTCACATCAGACATGTTTTGTCCTCCCCCTGTCCCGCATAACTAATACTCCCCCTCAAGGGGAAAACCCAAATCACCATAAAATCAAACATGATCTATCTAAGTTCACACATTAGAAACACATAAAGCAGAAGCCACACACAATAAAAATATATCAGGATGATTTTCAGAACATATGGTTCCACATTAGACAGTTATCATTGCATACAGACATCATATCAGTAGAAGCAGCATTTGCAGCAGCAGCAATAAGCATGACATGCTGTTGTGTTCCCCATAAATAGTTGCATACAACAAGAAACAATAATAGACTACTCTTCCTTTAGCAGTAGTACAGTCATGTCATAATGTTAGTCAACATGTCAAGACATGTGACATGACACCATGACACACAGAAAACACCCTTAACTCATAAACACTTTACTCCCCCTTTTTAGCCAAAAATTGACAAAAAAAAATTAGAGTAAATGTAAACAAATTGGAAGCACACAATGCATACAAGCATAAACATAGATGGAAGCACAACATTGATTACAAGCCTCACATTCTGTAAAGGCTATAATTCTTCAGCAATGCAAATTCCTGAAACACCCCTGATAAAGTGACGACCAGTCCCAATGAAATTTGTCCAGCTGTGCAGAGTGAAAATCCTTGAAAATTATGATTGTGACCAGCTTGTCACATTAAAATGTCATGACATCCTATTTGACATTGTATTCTTTTAGCGTCCAATTCAATTTGGAGCAACAACCTCCTCAATGTTATCCTTAGTCTTAGGGATAGACTAGAAAACACAATTATATTATTGTTGATCCAAGAGACAAGAATTTTTCTCAAGAAGAAACATCCTTAGAACCATACAAGAGCACACACGGCGGAATTAACTCAGAATCCAAACAAGAACACCATATAGTGATAGCAAAAACAAGCTCCCTCTGAATTACATAGCTTAAGAATTCAGCAAAGTGTAGTTGAACAACTAAACACAATGTCAAGGCATCTAGTCTGACATCACAGAGCAACCAGAAAAATAACTCCCCTTGAAGAACACAACCCACTGTAGAGAAAAATAGGTTTTCCCAAACAAGAAACATCATTGTTCTCAATGACATACCCATGCAATCATGAACTGTCCCACTTCGCATATCAGAGGCACATGCACCGCAGGAAAAAGCCTAAAAAACATTTAAGAGAAACCAGATTTCTCCAAAACACTTCAGGTAGGAAACATGTCATGCACATTTGGTTTGAAATCATGCACATAAACCACATCAGTAGAAGTACATTTCCTCTTAAGTACCAACAACTAGAATGATGTCAGAAACTGGCATCCTAGCACCACCAAAGATCATATAGAAATGTAGATATCATTTCCTTGATTCACACCATAGCATCACAATAGAAACCCCAGAGAAACCATGGTTCTCCACAACATCAGGTCAAATGTCAAGACATCAGATATGTCATCCTACACTACACAACAGATCCTTCCTTTCAGCATTGTCAAAGCCACTATCACCACTAGACTTGGCCAATACTTTACTCTAAAATTCACCAGGATTAGATATTTCATTATTGAATCTATTGGTGAACACAAACTCCATATGATTAGCTCTCATGTATAATCTACTTAATTTTCTAGAGATTTATTCTGTTGCGATGATGTTCCAACATTTGCTTAGACATCAGTCCCTTTCACGATGATTGAACCATTAACTTTGGTTTTGGAGTTAACATTCGTAGGTTTTGCTATCATCATAGCAATCCAGGAGCATCCCTTTGCATAAACTACTTGAGAACCAAAATTTAAACACAACAGTAAAGAAACAAACAACAAAGGCATATTATAGACGCTCATAGCAAAAACTTCGCAGAGAGAAATAAACTCTCACACACAACAAGAACCAAAAGATATTATACATAGAAGCACATTGTCAAGACATCCTGTATAACATCACATAACCACTAGCAAATCTTATGAAAACAAAGAAGAGATTCCCTCAACCAAGTACCATTGGGGTTGACCAAAATACCAGGGTGTTGATTGAGCAAATCACCATTATCAGTCTTTTCCACCTCAGTCTGCTCCTTTTCTCCCTTATGTTCCTTTATCCACTTCCCTCATATCTTGGTGGAATTCCCTCCCAAGTGACATAAAGTAATGAGTAACCCTTCACAAGGTCACACGCTTCTACAGAGTTGGAGACAAAACACATGCCCATATCCTTCTGTTCAAATCTGTTCTTTTAAAGATAGAAAAAAATATGACACAAACAGATCTATCTATGCTGATGATGTCTAGATCTTCTTCTACAACAGACGTCGCATTCAAGACAGAACTCTTGAGTAGAGACCTCAGAATCCTGCTGACCAAATGTGCCTTTATGAGAGGTCTTGAGAAGTTCCCAAGCATTTTTGGCCACCACACATGTGTTTAACAATCTGAACACATTTTTATCAACTCCATTGGATATGGAATTCAAAACATTTAGAGTTAACAAGAGCTAACCCAACTCTTCCTTATATTATTCCTCTTCTATTTTCAAAGTAACATTCCCTTCTTTATCCTTAACAACAAGAACATATTTCCAAGAGCTGTTGATAATGATCTTAAGAAAGCTACCATTCTAGCCTTCCATTGATCGTATAGTACCAGAAAAATCTCCCCGAAGCTCACCCAATAGACAGACCAAGGTGCCAACTTTGATGTCAATTGAAATTCTGCCACATTAACACATGTTAATACTGATGTCCTCACATCAGAACATAGTGTCAAGAAAAATGTTATAAAATCTTTTGTCTAACAGAACAAATAAATCAAACTAAAAATAAATTGCAGAAAGCTAAATAACACAATAAATTGTTAACCTAGTTCGGTGCAACATCACCTACATCTTGGGGCATCCAAGCCAGGAAGGAAATTCACTATGACAACATTAGTTCAAAGCTAAACTCCCCCATTTATAACTTATCACCTAATCACTACCTTGTTCAACTTCTACCTAGAAACCCTCTAGATATGAGATCGCCTTCTCACTTCCTAGCAGTCACAAACCAGGGACAATACCACAAGAGACCAAAATATAAGAACACTCTTCCAACTACAATACTTAGTTTTGCTTAAAAGCTTTAAATTAAGAACAATACACTCGTGCTTAAAAGCTCATGAGTGAACAACAAACAACATACAATCATTCTACCTCAATGTATCAAAAGATACAAGGGTGACTTACAACGAAAAACCTAAAGAGACTCTCAAAACTTAAGACTTTACACTTCCCCTAATTTTACAAAATTATAAAAGCCAAATTACATTAGGTTTAGGTTTCTCTTTATATACACCTTAGAAGTCTCCTTGAATCTTGGAACAAATCGTCAAGTTTGCTAAATTATCTCAACATCCAATTTTAGAAACTTATGAACAGTTGGAGATCAAATCAAATGTTCTAGATTATATCTTCTTTACCTGCAAAAATAAGTGAGATATATCCAAAAGAAATATCACAAAATCAAATCAAATCTGTCATGAATAAAACAGCTTGTACTGACGTTCTAGTACAACATGTCACAACATCTGCCTTTAATGTGTGACCAACAAACATTTCACACAATATCTTGCTGTGAACCATATTTTAGCAAAATTGCTGCCAATACTAAAACCACAAATCTAACAGAGATATCTAAGAAACTGACCCAGTAATATGTATTGTCTTTATATCAAGATATTTGTCATTTTGTATATTGTAATGTCATTTTGAAGGTTGTATTGTCTTTATATTTTGTAAGTTGGAACAATATGTCATTTTATTTTGTAAGTTAGAGCAACAAGGTTGCACTGTTATTTTGTTTTGTAAGTTGTAATGACATTATGTCTATGGCAGCTTAATTATATATGGAATTACTATTTGGAACATTTATTTTTTTTGTAAGCACAACCTTTGTTTTCATTTAATTCACATCAACCGTGTTATTAACATGTTGTACTGTCTTTATGTTTTTTAAGTTGATACAATAAGTTTAATGCATAATATGTCATACTATTTGGAACAACTATGTTTTATAAGTTGTTAATATAGTTATAATAACATTATGCCTATGGCTTCATAATTAAATATGGAAGTACTCTTTGGAATAACTCTTTTGTTTTATAAGCAAAAACTTTGTTTTCATTCAATTCAAATCAACCAATTTGTTAACAAAGCACAACATTCATTAATTCATCACAATGCAACATTCATTCTACATAATTAACACTTAAAACAATACAACTACCAGCCTGATTAGACAATGACAAAATAAACTCAAGAACAAATAAGTACTACAACTACAAATTCCAGCTTCTTCCTTGTGCTCTCTAACTTTTTCTTCATATCTTCCATCTCCTTAGAACACAGTTCTGTCCCAAATTCTCTTCCAAATTTCTTCCCAAAATCCTTTCCGAATTTTCTCAAATACCCTATCATGACATCACATCTACTATAACCATCATCATCTTTCTCAATTCTCTTCCTATCAATAGAACCAAAGTACTCATCATCCCAATAAAATAATTGGCAGTCTTCTTCTTTCCTCCAAATTTTGCACTTCCAATATTTTCTACCAGGATTTGTAACAGACTTTGAAATGAACGCCTTCATTGAAAGACCGTGTCCATATTTAAGAGTGATTATACCATTAGAGGACATGTTACTCTTTGAACTTGCAGCCATTGATTGATCGCGCACACAGCTATATGTGGATGTAGAAGGAGAAAAAAGGAAGACTGCGAAGATTTTAGACGCATGCAGATGGTAGTTCGAAGGAGGGAGAAGAAACTTGGATTATGCGTGAAAAGTCTTTTGAGATTTAGGGTTAACAAATTTCACATTGTATAAAAATTATCATCTGAAAATTAAAATATATTACACGTGGAATAATAATAAAATGAAAATAACAAAAAATTACACATGGGCAATGTCACATCAGACAATTTGATGAGTTGGTTTAATAAGAGACTGAATTAGTGGAATCTTCAGATGTTAAGGGGGGAATCTAAATTTTTTTTACAGAGAAGGTTTTCAAATTTTGCCCAAAATTTAGGGGGGAAAATAGCTATAACCCAGATATAAATCTTATTGTATTTTTGACAAATTAGTTTTTTCGTGATTTTGATCAACTATAAAATTGTTGGTATCTAAAGATGCTGAGAATGTAAGGAACTGTGACCCTTTGGGTAATAAGCCTAATATGTCCAATCAACCTTTGGGTAAACAAGTCTTGTATATAACAAGAGTTAGGGGAAAAAGTAAGTTGACAATTTAATTGTTTAAGGAGTTGTGAAATAAACATTAAGTTTAAGTGAAACTAATGTAGAAACAAAACATTGTGTATGATAAAGTGATCATAAAATTGAATTAGGCCACAATAGCGAGCAAGTAAACTGCTACTGTTTGGAAAACAAGCAGAAATTGGTTTAATTTTGAAAATAGTTTTGAAGGATTCTAAATGAGGGAAAACATGATCACTAGAAATAGAATCTAATATCTATATAAAAGTTAAAGTAATGGTGTTACTCAATTTTGTGATGCTTGAAACAACGTGATTGTTTGGGTCTGCATCATGATATTTGTTATGAGTTGAGGATTCTGATCTTGTGTACTTCAAAAGATTCACCAAGTATTCTTCTTTAGAGAGGGTAAGGTTGGTGTTATTTGAAAGATGAGCCTCAGTGTTTTTGTTGTTGGTTGAAGGGTTGAACTTTCTTGGATTGGTATCATTGTTAGAGGGGTTTGTTTTATCTGGATTTGTTTTAGGTCGATAACAAGGGGAAAACCATGTTTGAAGTAACAATGGTCTATAATATTGTTAGTTCTATTGCAGTGAGTGCAAATCATAGGGGTTCTGGAACCTCTGCCTCGACCTTTTGAGGGATACGTTGGATTATTAATATTGACAGAGAAGGTGGTGGAATCTAAAGGTTTGTCATGGAGAATAGAGTCTTGTTGAGATACAAGGGAATATAACTTGGATATGGAAGGAAGAGGATCCATTAGAAGATTTTGTGTGTGAACATTAGTGTAATTTTCATTGAGTCCTTTGAGAAAGAAAATGATGTACTCCATGTTCTTGAAGTTTCTGAATGAAATTGAAAAGAAGCAAGTGTATGTTACCGGATACGAACAATTTGAGGTGGGGAGAAGTTCTTCCAATTCATCCCATAAGATCTTCATATCAGTGAAGTAAACTGACAATGTTCGTTCACTTTATTGAATTGAGTGAAGATTATAAAGAAGATCTAAAACCCTAAATAAGTTCCCTTTTGTGAATAGATCTTCAATATCTTTCCAAAGTTCAAAAGTATAATTGATATAGATGGTGCTTTGAAAAATATGAGGGGAGAGGGTTCGAGTTATCTGAGAAATTACCATATTGTTACATCTCACTCAAAGATCAAAATCGAAATTAAATGGTGATTTTTGAAGAATTCTGTTAATGAATGTGATTTTGTTCTTGGATGAAAGCGTTATTTTCATTGGTCGACTCCAGTTGTGATAGTTTTGATTGGCGCGAGAGGTTTTAATAAGAACGACACCTGAATGTTTTCTTGGATGGAGAAAGTAAGGGTTTATTGGGTTTGGGATGTACCTTTAGTGGTTCTTATTGGAGGAGATGGTGGTGGTTCAACTTAAGTCCAAAGGCTGAAGAACTCATGGTTGAGGGTGGAGTACGAAAGAGAGGATAAAAAGAGTTTCGGTTACAACAAAAGATAAAATAAAACCCTATGATTGGTTTCTGTTGATACTATATACAAATATTGGGCTGAAAGCAAAAATAGACAAATGGATCGAGAAGAAATAATGAAAATATTATGAGAATTTCTTATGGCACCCTAAGTGATTCTACCGCACCATGTAAATTTCTATAAACGCTCCCAATTTCCGAAGATATATCTCCAAATGCATCCAAATGTAAGTTAATGTTAAAATATTCTAGAGATGCATCTCCTGAACATTTTGGAGCATAAGTCGTGTCAGACTCTTTTCCTTTCTCATTTCACATTTCTTCAACCACAACTTCAAACTCTCTCAATACACTACTCTACACCAAATCAAATTTCATCAAGCAAGGCTCAAGGGAACATAAAGCTTAATTTGTAACATCATTGAACTTCATCAAAACCATCATTTTCAAGTTAGTTTTTTGAGTTTTAGATAAATGTTTGAGTTTTAGTGTAAATGAGTAGAAATTAATTATTAGGGTTAGAAATATGTAGAAATCACATGTAGCATAGTTTAGACATAGTGTATAAGTTGATTGTTGCCTGAAAATGGTGATCATAACATATTTTTTTCAACTTGCATGTGGTACATTCTCCATTGACGTAACTTTTGAGTTTTAGAACATTCTGGAGATGCATATCAAGAATTGTTCAGCGTTTCATATACTGCAGGAAGTTCCAGAGATGCATCTCTAGAATATTTAAATGTTTTAGTTTCCTAGTGCTTCCAGAGATGCATCTCCAGAATGTTAACGTTTTTGTTTCCCGGTGCTTCTAGAGCCGTCAGATTCTGGGGCTCGTGCTTCTACTCAGCTCACTTCACCTTCTTCTTCTTGTTGGAGACGAGATTCACCATATGATGCGCCAATTCCCCCATCCTTGCGCAGACGTCAGGATTCACTAGTGCCACCTCCTACGGATGATGTTGCAGTTCTAGTCCTACCTTCTACTTATGATGCTGCTAATCCAGTGCCACTTACAGATGGTTAGGCTGTCGTGGATGCCGAGCCAAAGGATTTTGAAGGAGGTCCAGTTGATTTGTCCTTACTTCCTCTGTATCTATACCATATTGGTAGACATATCTAGGATGAAGAGGTAACATTAGTTAGATTCTTTATTTTTTTACCTAAATTTTAATTGCTGAGATTGATAACTTTTGACATTGATAACTTTTGACATTGATAATTCCTGACATTGATTATTTCTGACAAATTTCAAGAGCGTGATCCCTAGAAGTTTCTTAACCATGGGAGGAAGATTGTTGTATTGCCTCAATCTAATTAGGATTGGTTTTAGTCGGTTCTGTCCTTATCTGGCCTGAATGACATATGCATGACCAGTTACACTCTGGTCAACCACTAGATGCTTAATCCATTCGTGGAGAGATGACAATATGAGACATCGTCGTTTCATCTCTCACATGGTGAGATTTCTATCACATTTGATGATGCCTCATGTTTGTTACATCTTCCAAGCAGGGGGAGATTCCTCAATCATGGGAAGATTACCAAAGACATGGCAATCGAGATGATGGTAGAACATTTGGGGGTTGATCCAAAGAAGGCGATGAAGGAGGTGGATAAGACCAGGGGTGCTCATGCTAGATTTGAGTTCCTGAAGAAGCTCTATGTGGATGAAACCCAGAAGGCAGAGTAGGCTCATGGTGATGATGAGCAGGTGGTGATCCATAGAACACATGCTTTGATAGCATACCTGTTGTTTTTGGTTGGCACTTCGGTTTTTATGGACAAGAGTGCCACTTATACTGATGTCGTCTACCTATGGTACTTCTTGGATCTCGAGAGGATCCACAAGTACAACTGGGGGGTGACTTGTCTAGTCTATCTATATTCGAAGTTGAGAGGGGACTGTATGTGGAAGACGAAGCAGGTCACATGCAGCGTGACACAACTAGTGGTAATAATTCTTGATTTTTGAATATTTTTTGTCATTTTCATTTCATATTTGCAAAACCATTGACGATGATTCATGTTTCCCAAACTTTTTATTTCAGGATTGGATCCTCCATCACTTCCCGCACATTGTTGGCTTGGAAAATGCGCCTGAGTACACTGAGGATATGTCGCGTGCTACTGTTTTTATCCCGCTCAGAGGGAACCAGACGGACGAGCCTTTTAGAGTCTATCTTGACTGTTTGGTTGTTGAGGACATGCACTTTAACAATTACTTTGACCACTGTCAAACGCTGCCATTTGACGAGATAGTGTTATAATATGAATGGTTGACATGTAGATTGTGTCTCACTGCTCCTCATTTGACCGAGCATGTCATGCGGTAGTTTGCCTACACTCAGACCATTCCCAAACACCTACGGATGGTTAGACTGCTGTGGATGTCGAGCCAAAGGACTTTTAAGGAGGTCCAATTGATTTGTCCTTACTTCCTCTGTATCTATACCATACTGGTAGACATATCTAGGATGAAGAGGTAACATTATTTGGATTCTTTATTTTTTTACCTAAATTTTAATTGTTGACATTGATAACTTTTGACATTGATTATTCCTGACATTGATTATTCCTGACAAATTTCAAGAGCGTGATCCCTAGAAGTTTCTTAACCATGGGAGGAAGATTGTTGTATTGCCTTAATCTAATGAGGATTGGTTTTAGTCAGTTCTGTCCTTATCTGGCCTGAATGACCTATGCATGACCAGTTACACTCTGGTCAACCACTGGATGCTTAATCCATTCGTGGAGAGATGACAATCTGAGACATCGTCATTTCATCTCTCACATGGTGAGATTTCTATCACATTTGATGATGCCTCATGTTTGTTACATCTTCCAAGCATGGGAAGATTACCAAAGACATGGCAGTCGAGATGATGGTAGAACATTTGGGGGTTGATCCAAAGAAAGCGATGAAGGAGGTGGATAAAACCAGGGGTGCTCATGCTAGATTTGAGTTCCTGAAGAAGCTCTATGTGGC